CTCGAAGCTCGGCGCCAACGAGGCCGTCGCCTACGGCGCCTACGCCCTGGCGATGCAAGCCTTGGGACACTCTTAATCGCAATTACTCCGAACCGCTGTTGAGTCACATCATGAAGCACCTACTCGCCGCCGGCGTCCTCAGCGCCACGTTCGCCAGTTGCTGTTTTGCCGCGGAGTTCGAGTCGAAGCGTCCGCCCATCGAGGAACGCTGTTTCACGAGCCCCTCGGTCGAGCAGACGATCGCGAAGGTGAAGCCGAAGATCGCCGACGCCGAATTGGCGTGGATGTTCGAGAACTGCTACCCGAACACCCTCGACACCACCGTCGATTACGAGGTGATCGACGGCAAGCCCGACACGTTCGTGATCACCGGCGACATCGACGCGATGTGGCTCCGCGACTCGACGGCGCAAGTATGGCCGTACATGCGCTACGTCAACGACGACGAGAAACTGCGAAAGCTGGTGGAAGGCTTGGTGCGCCGGCAGACGAAGTGCGTCTTGCTCGACCCCTACGCGAACGCCTTCTACAAAGACATGCAGAAGGAGTCGGAGTGGGCCAGCGACCGCCCCGCGCCGATCGACGGCGTTCACGAGCGCAAGTGGGAGATCGATTCGCTCTGCTACGCGGTGCGGCTGGCGAACGAGTATTACCGACTGACGGGCGACGCGTCGATCTTCGACGAGGACTGGCGGCGGTCCGCCAAGCTAATCGTCGAGACATTCAAGACCGAGCAACGCAAGAACGGCACGCCGTACCGCTTCCGCCGCTCTACCGACCGGATGATCGACGCGCCGCTGTTCGATGGCCTGGGACGGCCCATCAAGCCAGTGGGCCTTATCGCGTCGGCGTTCCGCCCGAGCGACGACAGCACGCTCTACCCGTTCTTGATCCCGTCGAACCTGTTTGCGGTGCAATCGCTGCGGCAGCTCGAGGCGATCTTCCGCGGCGAACTCGACGACGAGGCCTTTGCGGACGAGTGCGCCGGGCTGGCTGACGAGGTTCAAGCCGCGATCGAAGAGTACGCGATCGTCGAGCACCTCGACTTCGGCAAGATCTACGCGTACGAAGTCGATGGCTTCGGCAACCGCGCGCATTGGGACGACGCCAACGTGCCGAGCCTGATGTCGCTGGCGTATCTGGGCGTGCACAAGAAGGACGACCCGCTCTACCTCCGCACCCGCAAGTTCCTGCTCAGCGACAGCAACCCCTATTACTTCCGCGGCAAGGCGGCGGAGGGGCAGGCGAGCCCGCACTCGGGTCACGAGCGCATCTGGCCGATGGGCATCATCCTCCGCGCCATGACCAGCACCCCCGACGAAGAGATCGTCGAATGCCTGCGGATGCTGCGGGCGACGCACGCCGAGACGGGTTTCATGCACGAGGCGTTCAACAAGGACAACCCGGCCGACTACACCCGCGATTGGTTCGCCTGGGCCAACACGCTGTTCGGCGAGTTGATCGTGCTCATTGATGACGAGCGACCGCACCTCTTGCAGACGTCTTTCGACTGAAGCCGACTTGTCGCCGGCCGTTTCTCAACGGGCGGACGCGCCACTGCTATTCCCTAAAACCCACTTCGACCCATCGGCGCCGCGATGGGTCGAAGTGGGTTTATCCCTGGTAGGTAACCACGCCGGCGCCGTGACGACCGCTGTCCGCCGAGGCGAGCGGGGATAAGCAGTACTTATCTCAGCAGGTGTGCGGGGAGTTTTGGCCCCAGATTCTGTTTCGTGACGGAATGTCACGTGGCGATTGTGTGAAGATTGGGTTAAGATATGCGAGTTGCTGACGCATCCATGGTGTGTTCGCTCGCTCTTTTCTCGTTGTCGTTGCGATGCCAATCCCGCCAATCCCCGAGGATCGCATGCCGCTACGCTGCCCCAATCCGGCCTCACAACGGCGTGGCATGACGCTGGTCGAGTTGCTCGTCGTGATCGCCGTGATCGGCATTCTGGTGGCTCTGTTGCTGCCGGCGGTCCAAGCCGCCCGGGAGAGCAGCCGGCGTTCGACGTGCCTCAACAACCTGCGGCAAGTCGGGCTAGCGGTCCTCAATTACGAAGGGATTCACAAGAAGTTCCCGCCGGGCAAGCAGTACTCGGCGCCGCGGACCGAGCCGACCGCGTTCGGTTACTCCTGGTCGAGTGTCATCCTTCATCACCTGGAGGAGGGCGCGATTCAAGAGCAGATCGACTTCAAGAAGCCGATGACCGACCCGGTGAATCTGCCCGCCGCTTCAGAGGTCGTGCCGGTGTTTCTTTGCCCCAGCGCGTCGCGGCTTGAAGAGCATCGCTCCCCGGAGGGCCGGCTCTTCAACCTGAATGGTCAGCCTGGCGAAGGGATGGGATGTATGGACTATCTCGGCGTGTCCGGCCCGGATAAGGACAAAGACAACCCGACCACCGGTGAGCAATACGGCGCGCAACGCGGTGTGTTGATCGGTAATAAAGGACTCCCGGACGAGGACACGATTCAGGTCCCGCCATCGATCACCATCGCCCGCATCACGGACGGGACCTCGAAGACCGTCATGGTGGTCGAGTGCACCGGTCGCGGCGCCGACGTCAACAAGTCCGGTGAAGTCAAGAGTCTCAATGGGGCTTGGGCGTCCGGTGGCAACATCAGTCACATCAAGAAGGGCGTCAACGAGGAAGAACCCCCGGTCGCCTGGGAGGATGAGCGGGTGTACTCGGATCACCCTTACGGATCGCACGGCCTGCTGGCCGACGGTTCGGTGCACTTCTTAAGCAAGTCGATGGAAGCGAGCACTCTCCGCTCGCTCTGCTCACGCGACGGCGGCGAGACAATCGAAGGCGTCGACGGACTCTAGGAGACGGGGCAAGACCATGAACGTCCGAGACGACATCGACCGCGTGGTCTTTAAGCTGCGCCCCATCGATCTAGCGGAGATGGACAGCGTCAGCTTGATGAACCGCGTCGACACCAAGTATGCGATGTCGGACCGCCTGCTCCCGGAGTTGCTCACGAGCATCTCGGAC